CCCTGGACAACCAGAGGATGTCTTCTGATGTCGCCAGAACATCACATCCACAGTGAAGCCGAAATTCTCCCAGTAAGGTGCTACAGTTGTCAGCACTCGAACTTGCTTCAGCTGAAGTACCAGGTCCAGCACTACGCACAGCACCCCTGGGACTAGGACTGTACAGACAGGCTATTAACGGTATTTACAAACTCCAGTAAAGTGAATGCCGTCATCAGTGCCAGTCACCACCTGTGAACGAGAGTGAGCCATCTGCCACGAGATACGCCAACGAGATCGCCCAACTCGCCTCCCAACATTGAAAATGAGTGTCCAGCATGTGGAGTTTCCCCCCTTGACACCAACCATTTTTTTTTATTGATATTTTGTCGGGATTTCTTGTCTGGATTGTGTCTTGTCGGGATTATGTATGGTCGGGATTGTGTCTTGTCTGGGGATTATGTATGGTCGAGATTTCGTCGTGTCTGGATTATGTTTGGTCGGGATTTGGTCGTGTCTGGATAATGTCTTTCGGGATTCTGTATTTCGGTATTTTATATATCGGGATTTCATTATACACCCTAAAAAATCGCGCGGGATTGTCTTCCGTTTTCACTCAAAAATAAGGGAGCACTCGATAATCCCGACTTTGAAGATCCCGACAAGACATAATCCAGACAATTTTTAAAAATCCAGACAATACAAAATCCAGACAGGACATAATACAGAGATAACAAAATCCCGACCAAATAAAATACAGGGGTGTATAAGCATAATCCAGACAACAAAATCCAGAAATTCAAAATGCGGACAGTCAAAATACAGACAAATCAAAATCAGACAAATCAAAATACAGACAAATCAAAATACAGACAAATCAAAATCCAGACAAATCAAAATACAGACAAATCAAAATACAGACAAATCAAAATACAGCATAAAACAGACAAATCAAAATGCAGACAACAAATTAAAATAATATTATTTTTTAGAATGTTTCCTATTTAAAAAAGTGGCGGAAACTTTCAGTATATATTTAAATATTGTTCCGTTTTTTTGTTAAAGAAAGTGCCGCAGGCTAAAATTTGGAATAAAAAATCGCGCGATTTTTTATTCCAAATTTTCAGTATTTCTTAAAATATAATTTAATATAAAAAAAACGCCGCAGGCGAAAATTTGGAATGAAAAATCGCGCGTCTTTCATGTTTAGTTTGGCAATACCATGGAAATATATTCAATCTTATATCAAATTTGATAAAAGAGCAAGTTTTTGTAGAAACTAAAATTGAAAAGGTGCTTAGTGGAGAAAAACAAGCTAAACGGCGACGCCTGGAAAACAGAACATTTAAAACAATTGTTATGGAAAGGGAAAACTATGCTCCCAAAGAATACTTAGCCAATATAGCTAAGCATCTCAATTTAATATAAGTAGTTAATGATTGTTTGTAAATACTTACTAATTAAAATTTTTTAAATAAATTCCGGTACACTGAAATTGTGTTGATGAAGAAGGTTAGGGGTGGATTCGGGATTTTTTTAGAAAAGTATTCCCCAGTATTTTTCCCACAGTATTTTTGCGCAGATCTCTCTGCGAGCCTAACTACGACTTAACAGACACGATTTTGATTTGCAAAAATTGTATACGGACATTTTTTCCCCTCATGTCTGTATTTTGATTTGTCAGTATTTTGATTTGTCTGTATTTTGATTTGTCAGTATTTTGATTTGTCAGTATTTTGATTTGTCTGTATTTTGATTTGTCGGTATTTTGATTTGTCTGGATTTTGATTTGCCGGTATTTTGATTTGTCTGTATTTTGATTTTTCTGCTTTTTTGAATTTTGTCTTTATTTTGATATGTCTGGATTTTAAATTTCCGGATTATGAATGTAACCGAAACTAAACATGAAAGACGCGCGATTTTTTATTCCAAATTTTCAGTATTTCTTAAAATATAATTTAATATAAAAAAACGCCGCAGGCGAAAATTTGGAATTGTCCGCATTTTGAATTTCTGGATTTTGATTGTCTGGATTATGTTATACACCCAAAATTTCCACCACTTTTTTAAATAGGAAACATTCTAAAAAAATTAATATTATTTTAATTTGTTGTCTGCATTTTGATTTGTCTGTGTTTTTATTTGTCTGTATTTTGATTTGTCTGTATTTTGATTTGTCTGGATTTTGATTTGTCTGTATTTTGATTTGTCTGTATTTTGATTTGTCTGGATTTTGATTTGTCTGTATTTTGACTGTCCGCATTTTGAATTTCTGGATTTTGCTTGTCTGGATTATCTTATACACCCAAGTTCGAGTGCAGACAACTGTAGCACCTTACTGGGAGAATTTCGCGTTCACTGTGGATGTGATGTTCTGGCGACATCAGAAGACATCCTCTGGTTGTCCAGGGTGTTGTATTGCGGCATGTCTTTAGTTTCGTCCACTGCGAACCAATTGTCCCCGGCGAACCAATTGTTCCCGGCTTTGTATATTTGCAACACCGTTTCTTTGTCTTTGAGGAATGCGGCTCTGTACTTTGTTGGCAATTTCGGTTGTATGCGCCGGGAACGAGAGCTAGATCTGACAATTTTCCGGTTATTCACCGTTGGAATTAGTTTGCCATCGACGAGAATACGCAGCTTTCGTCCTTGCGTTAAAATGGTTGCCGAGAGGGTTAGGCCCCTTGCAGTGAAAAAGCGAAAAAATGTGGAGCGGTAACCGTTTATATTTAAGCATAAGTCACCAATTTCATTTCCGGACGCATTGTATTTTTTTTTAGTCTGGATTGTGTCTTGTCGGGATTTGGAGTTGTCGGGATTTTGTCTTGTCTGAATAATGTGTTATCTGTATTTTATTTGGTCGGGATTTTGTTGTGTCTGTATTATGTCTTGTCTGGATTTTTAAAAATTGTCTGGATTATGTCTAGTCGTGATCTTCAAAGTCGGGATTATGGAGTGCTCCCGTATAAAAGACACAGTTGTTGTTATTGTTGTAAGGACTTACTTAGCCCGTAATTGTAGGAGCACTCCATAATCCCGAATTTGAAGATCCCGACTAGACATAATCCAGACAATTTTTAAAAATCCAGACAATACAAAATCCAGACAGGACATAATACAGACATAACAAAATCCCGACCAAATAAAATACAGATAACACATTATTCAGACAAGACAAAATCCCGACAACTGTGGAGATTCCCCCCTTGACACCAGCCACTTCTTCACATGCTCACTCAATCCAACTCAACTAACATCCCTCTGGTTATACCTCATCGAAATATCAAATCTCCTGGCCCTACCTTTAGTTGAGCCTGCGGACAATTACGGGCTAAGTAAGCCCTTACAACAATAACAACAACTGTGTCTTTTATACGGGAGCCCTCCATAATCCCGACTTTGAAGATCACGACTAGACATAATCCAGACAATTTTTAAAAATCCAGACAAGACATAATACAGACATAACAAAATCCCGACCAAATAAAATACAGATAACACATTATTCAGACAAGACAAAATCCCGACAACTGTGGAGATTCCCCCCTTGACACCAGCCACTTCTTCACATGCTCACTCAATCCAACTCAACTAACATCCCTCTGGTTATACCTCATCGAAATATCAAATCTCCTGGCCCTACCTTTAGTTGAGCCTGCGGACAATTACGGGCTAAGTAAGCCCTTACAACAATAACAACAACTGTGTATTTTATACATTATTTTTGAGTGAAAACAGAAGACAATCATGCCAAAAATCCCGACAAAATATAAAAAATAATTAAAAAATCGCGCAAAAAAGTCAGTGTGTAGTTCTGCTAGCAACTGTGGAGAACATCCGCTTACTTGGGAGTAGTAGCATATGGATAATGGATGGCACATTTAAAGTTGTTCCTTCTCCCATGGGACAATTATTTACAAGTCATGGGCGCATAGGCACAAAATCATGCAATGAAATTGTACCGCTTGTTTATTGTCTCATGACGCAGAAAAGTGAAAAGTGCTACGACGAATTTTTATATGAATTGTTGAAGTTCGCAT